TAGAAATAAAAAATATTTTTAACATTCAGATTCGCTCCAAGTTACATTTTACAACCTAACATTAACTGCATCACGATAATCATTAGAGCTCTTGAGCGAAAATTCCTTTCCGTTCCTTCATCGCTTGCAAAAGGGAAGCGTAGGTGGGTACTTTTTGTATCGATTGTCGAAAAGCTATTATTTTCAAGGGTAAAAGAATCAGGGTGTAATAAAGTTAACGGTATCAGAAGTGACAGTGGCATCTGGTGCGGTGCGACGACGGTGCGACGCTGCGGTGGCGCGCCGCGCGACGCATCAATTATTACCGCTTGTAATGAACACAAATCCTTTGATTCCATTGAACGAGCGGCAGGGGGAGGTGTGGCGCAAGTCACGAGCGACGAACTACCCTCTTTTTTATATTTATCATCATCAGCCTATTATTAAGGGGCACAAGCCTTCCCTATGGATGGAATGGGGAGATTGGACCATGGCCCACCACGCGGGCCCAGTGCGCATTGGCGGGTGCTGACAACTGCAGATGCAGCCGGGACCAACGGCTTAACGTGCCTTCCGAAGCACGGAGGAGCTCGAGATAGTAAATTTTTAGTTACCCATCTATTCCTGTTTATCTATTCCTATCCCCGGGTTCGAATCGCGGTGGGGCAATAGGGGTGATGACGGGGGAGAGGAAACGAAATTCTATTTAGTCCGTCAGTTAGATGATCAAAAAATAATGGATACGTATTTTTTCTTCGGGCAATCAACCAAAAAATGACAAAGTTATAGCGCGTCAAAGTTTAGGAGTAGTGGCTCGTGACGTCACTTTTAAGTGAAAATTGTACCAAAACGTGACGTCATGCGACTTTTCAAATCAATATATCTCTGCAATGTTTATTGTTTATTTAATTATGTGAAAAAATACGTGTCCAATACTTTTTGATAATCGACTTGATAAACGATGAAAAAAAATAGTCATCATTTTTACGTAAGTTATGGATGTTTATATGTATTTCTTATAAAAAAGTTCTTTATCCGTTACCCTTGTATCCCATAACCCAAGCCTTACAGTGCTTCCTTTGGGGCTAGGCTAAAATTGGTATGTGTGCTAGAAATATCTATTTATATATGTCTATGTTATCAATACACTGGCTGCCGCTCCCGCGTCCGCTCATGGTCTAGCCCATACGCCCCGGTACATCAAGTATGCACTAAGAGAATGTCGGAGCGTCGCGACACCTAGCTCTCATTTCATTGTCTCACTGCGAAGCTATGTGCCGATGAATTTTGCAGCCCCAACCCAACCTAGTACAGAGTGACACGGTACGCCAATTTTGTTTGTAAAATTGGAATATATAGTTTTCCTACTTTGATGTCCATCTTCCGATAGAGAGCGGTATATGGCACATAAATAAAATTATATCATTTACGAATTGATATGATGTGCTTTGAAATTCGTTTTTCAATTATTGACGACCTCCGTGGCCGAGTGGTTTGTACGCCGGGTTTCATGGTGTTGCCGACTCGAGAGGTCCCGGGTTTGAATCCCGATGGGGGCAGTTGTTTGTGTGATGAATACGTGCATTTGTACTCCAGTCGTGGATGTTTAATATGTATTTCTATATAAATATACTTATGTATGTACAATATATGTATTCTATCCGTTACCCTAGTATTCCATAACACAAGCCTTATAGTCCTTACTTTGGGGCTAGGCTAATTGGTGTGAAAACAAAAATATAAATCACATCGATGATCTTACAGAATAGCACTGCAGCTGCGCAATCCACGGTGTGATTTCAAATGGAATACGAATTTCAAATCAAATCATAGAAAAATTATATACTAATTTGCGGTAAAAAGTGGGTTTGTTACAGATTTTGTATTTAACGATCCCAATCGTAATAGGTTTTAATATAAAAAAAAAGTTTATTCTATTGTTGACACAATTAATACCATATACACAATATGTACTGTGTTTTATTTTTCTGTTTTTTTGCTTGAATGTAACAAATTGTTGTATTTCGAATGTTTCTCGTTTAACGATGATTTTGAACATTCCTCATTCAGCGCCATGTTTCACCTTGATGTCGCTTCGCAAAAGGAGGAATACCATTAACTTTCAACAATCTTAAAAATAAATGATATCTAAGGTGCCACTAACAATATCAGTTCCGACGGTACTGAGTTTTAGTATACTGTGACACGGCAGCAAGCATTAACATCTTAAGTCTCTCGCAAAACTGCATTGTAATTCTGGACGCCCTTAGTTCTAGCTTACACTTAACTATGTTTATGAAAAAACAATGACACAAGAGCAGCGTAGAGTGGGGCTTTAGTTGAACTCAACTACGGATTTGAGTAGACAATTTTTATTATACACAGTAGGTACTGTGGATCTGATGTCCTTTAATTTCATCAATTTAAGGTTATTACTTAATTTGAACGATAAACTATCAAATTGAAGCTTTCTTTGAGTAGGCTTAGAAGATCTACACCTGAATCCAAATTCCGACAACGAATATTACTTATAATTAAAAACGAACCAGAAACATAGTAAGAAAAGTGCGAAGTTACGATCGAAATTTAGTTTTTCGTTGAATTAAAGTAGGCTTCCAGGTCTTGAATTATTATCATAGCGTCAAGATATTTACCAGATTCGTTGGTAAATGGCATTGCGGATACGTTTGGTTATGGTCCCTTTAAGATTTTTAATGATATGAACAAAATACAATGTTAATTACAAACAAGCATTTTCTCTGATGCGCGAGCAATGTGTTTGTCCTAGAAGATTTGGTAAATCAAATTCACTCGAAAACCCTAAGGATTTTACGAAAACGCGGATAATTAGAGAGTGGCGATGACATTTCTCAATATTACTGAAAATACATAGGTTTTTTGTGAAAAAGAGAGTCGCCTCCAGTAAGATTGCGAAAAGAATCGTTGGCTTATTATAAATATGGGTTTTTGGGTTCTTAGGTTCACACTAGGTTAGGTTAGTGTTGTGACCATGAAAACAAATAGAGCCGTAGCACTTAAGGCAAAGGCTGGCGAAACGCCAGAAAAAAAAAATCGTGAACAGTAAGATACAGAAATGTCTTCGAATTTGACCAATTATCTGTGTTTCTGCAAAATCTCTAGGGTTTTCACGAAAATTCTATTAATCATGTCATCCTACAACATTATTAAAGATTTTAAACTCAACTAAAGGCGCAATTACACTTGGTCGTTATCCCGTATTCCGGTGCACGAAAGATATTACTCGATTTCGGGCACTCGAAGTAATAATTACATTGTTTTACTCACGTTCGGGTACTGGAACACGAGCAAACGCTACGTAACTGCTAGCGCGTTCTAGTTGAAACGTACCTTAGTGATGCCAGATTGGGGGGAACCAAAACGAATGACTTCATGAGTTATCTCATATAGAAGTCATTTTTCATTTTTCATTTGACGACTCTCTATATAATACAGGGAGAAAATAACAGCCCTTGCTGAGTTTCTTGCCGGTTCTTCTCAGTATAAGGTCTCCCGCCGTAGTCGTTTATCCGAATTCCTTCGGCAATTGTATACGGGCTAACGACTATACTCGATCTCCCTTATTAATAAACAAGGAATAAGCTTTGACTAGTTACGCAGTGTTTTGCCCATGTCACTCAAATGTCATTGGTCATTTTGACGACCTCCGTGGCCGAGTGGTTTATACGCCGGGTTTCATGGTGTCGCCGACTCGAGTGGTCCCGGGTTCGAATCCCGGTAGGGGCAGATGTTTGTATGATGAATACAAGCATTTGTACTCCAGTCATGGATGTTTTATATGTATTTCTCATTCTTTCTGTACAGTATATGTATTCTATCCGTTTCCCTAGTATCCCATAACACAAGCCTACAGTGCTTACTTTGGGGCTAGGCTAATTGGTGTGTGTTGGAAATATTTATTTATTCAATAGACAGAGACAAAACGCGGAGTAACTAATCCAAACGTAGTCTTCGTTTATTAATAAGGGCGGATAAGATTAGCCATAGACTGCTACGAACGGACTGCTGCTACGGTCGTAAACGGCTTCTGCTACGGTTGCAGCAACAGTAGCCAGCGGTTGCTACGATTTGTGCCGCTTGCAATGTAAAATTGACAAAATACTCGTATGTTTTTAGAAAGAAATAAAACAAACTAAGTAAGCCAGCTCAAAGTAAACGTGTCTTGAGGTATACGCTCATAAGGAAAGCATATCGGTTTAAATTAATATAATGTATCTCTTCTCTATACTCTTCCATTTCCAGGGGCGACGCACCCTAGGGTATATATGTTTATGGTTTTAAAATTAAACAGATTAATATAAATAAATAGAAAATGATCTTGTGCAGGAACTATATATTCAGTTTAAAAGAAATGAAGTATGTATGTGTGATGAATACGAGTATTTGTACTTCAGTCATGGATGTTTTTTTTTATAGCGATGTAGGCAAATGACTCTACCCCACCTGATGTTAAGTGGTGATAAAGTCAAACGCGAAGATAGCTGGTACTGCCGTTATAAGCTGCTACATCAACCATCCGCACCTTGCCGGTCTGCAAAAATGCTTCTTCACGCCTCTCTTAAAGGACCCCAGATTATAGGAATTAGGGGACACGTGCGCGGGTAAAGAATTCCACTTACGAATAGTACGACAAAGAAATGAGTCACCAAATTTCTTTGTTCGTGTAGGAATAGTGGCCACAGTAAGTCGGTGGTAACGTAGGCCAGCGCGCGTGGTCCTCTGAAGAAAAGGTGTAATATGTATTTCTATAAAAATATACTTTATATGTAAAGTATATGTATTCTATCTATTACCCTAGCATCCCATAACACAAGCCTTAAAGTGCTTACTTTGGGGCTAGAGTAATTGGTGTGAGTGTCGGAAATATTTATTTTTTCGTCTTTAAACAATTAGGCCTCAACAAAACACGGGTAGAGAAGCGTTATTAACATTATTAACAGATGAAAGAAAGTTTCGATTGAGGATAGTTTGTTTGTCCTCAGCTCGGGCGCGTTCCGCTCGTCGCCAGGCTCGAGCGAGCCGCCGCCCGGCCCGCCGCCGCCGCTGTTCCTGCCGCCGCACCTTTCGCATCTCTCGCAACACCTCAACCATCTGTCGCAACCCTTCTTCCCACTGAAAGGTGCGTTGCTAACTGTACACCATGTCTATTAGATATGTAATTGTCATAAGACACGTGCAGGCGCCACCACTGTTCCTGCCGCCGCACCTTTCGCAGCACCTCAACCATCAGTCGCAACCGTTCTTCCCGTTGGAAGGTGCGTTGCTAACTGTACACCATGTCTATTAGATATGTAATTGTCATAAAACACGTGCAGGAGCCACCACTGTTCCTGTCGCCGCACCTCTCGCACCTCTCGCAGCACCTAAACCATCTGTCGCAACCGTTCTTCCCGCTGAAAGGTGCGTTGCTAACTGTACACCATATCTATTAGATATGTAATTGTCATAAGACACGTGCAGGCGCCACCACTGTTCCTGCCGCCACACCTCTCGCATCTCTCGCAGCTTCCTCAACCATCTGTCGCAACCTTTCTTCCCACTGAAAGGTGCGTTGCTAACTGTACACCATATCTATTAGATATGTAATTGTCATAAGACACGTGCAGGCGCCACCACTGTTCCTGTCGCCGCACCTCTCGCATCTCTCGCAGCACCTCAACTATCTGTCGCAACCGTTCTTCCCGCTGAAAGGTGCGTTGCTAACTGTACACCATGTCTATTAGATATGTAATTGTCATAAAACACGTGCAGGAGCCACCACTGTTCCTGTCGCCGCACCTCTCGCATCTCTCGCAGCACCTCAACTATCTGTCGCAACCGTTCTTCCCGCTGAAAGGTGCGTTGCTAACTGTACACCATGTCTATTAGATATGTAATTGTCATAAGACACGTGCAGGCGCCACCACTGTTCCTGTCGCCACACCTCTCGCATATCTCGCAGCACCTCAACCATCTGTCGCAACCCTTCTTCCCACTGAAAGGTGCGTTGCTAACTGTACACCATGTCTATTAGATATGTAATTGTCATAAAACACGTGCAGGAGCCACCACTGTTCCTGTCGCCGCACATCTCGTATCTTTCGCAGCACCTCAACCATCTGTCGCAACCGTTCTTCCCGCTGAAAGGTCTGTTGCTAACTATACACCATGTCTATTAGATATGTAATTGTCATAAAATAAAACACATGCAGGAGCCACCACTGTTCCTGTCGCCGCACCTCTCGCATCTCTCGCAGCACCTCAACCATCTGTCGCAACCATTCTTCCCACTGAAAGGTCCGTCGTTAACTGTACACCATATCTGTTAGATATGTAATTGCAATAAGACACGTGCAGGCCGCCACCACTGTTCCTGCCGCCGCACCTCTCGCATCTCTCGCAAAACCTCAACCATCTGTCGCAACCGTTCTTCCCGCTGAAAGGTGCGTTGCTAACTGTACACCATATCTATTAGATATGTAATTGTCATAAGACACGTGCAGGCGCCACCACTGTTCCTGCCGCCACACCTCTCGCATCTCTCGCAGCTTCCTCAACCATCTGTCGCAACCTTTCTTCCCACTGAAAGGTGCGTTGCTAACTGTACACCATATCTATTAGATATGTAATTGTCATAAGACACGTGCAGGCGCCACCACTGTTCCTGTCGCCGCACCTCTCGCATCTCTCGCAGCACCTCAACTATCTGTCGCAACCGTTCTTCCCGCTGAAAGGTGCGTTGCTAACTGTACACCATGTCTATTAGATATGTAATTGTCATAAAACACGTGCAGGAGCCACCACTGTTCCTGTCGCCGCACCTCTCGCATCTCTCGCAGCACCTCAACTATCTGTCGCAACCGTTCTTCCCGCTGAAAGGTGCGTTGCTAACTGTACACCATGTCTATTAGATATGTAATTGCAATAAGACACGTGCAGGAGCCACCACTGTTCCTGTCGCCGCACCTTTCGCAGCACCTCAACCATCAGTCGCAACCGTTCTTCCCGTTGGAAGGTGCGTTGCTAACTGTACACCATGTCTATTAGATATGTAATTGTCATAAAACACGTGCAGGCGCCACCACTGTTCCTGTCGCCGCACATCTCGTATCTTTCGCAGCACCTCAACCATCTGTCGCAACCGTTCTTCCCGCTGAAAGGTCCGTTGCTAACTATACACCATGTCTATTAGATATGTAATTGTCATAAAATAAAACACATGCAGGCGCCACCACTGTTCCTGTCGCCGCACCTCTCGCATCTCTCGCAGCACCTCAACCATCTGTCGCAACCATTCTTCCCGCTGAAAGGTCCGTTGCTTACTGTACACCATATCTATTAGATATGTAATTGCAATAAGACACGTGCAGGCCGCCACCACTGTTCCTGCCGCCGCATCCCTCGCATTTCTTGCAGCACCTCAACCATCTATCGCAAACGTTCCTCTCGCTGAAAGGTGCGTACGAGTAAATTTATTATTATTGCCATACTCTACATAGTAACCTACTACCACCCGCGAATTCGTCTGCGTTATTGTAAGGAAAATTTTTGGAGAATCCAACAGGAACCTAACGTTCTCCGAACTCAAAAGTACCCTTTATTCCGATCCAAGTAATAAACAATATGTGTCTCAATTTTTCTCCACTACCGTTCAGTCCATTTTGGAATGGTACTAGTTGATTAAGTTAAAAAAATCCTATAGTAGACCTTTTAAAAAGTTAGTCATGCATCCATCAGCCTTTCTCCGTCCACTGCTGGACATAGGTCTCCCCCATAGAACGCGACAATGCGCGGTCCTGCGCTATCCGCATCCAGCGGTTAAAAAGTTAGTACCTATCTCAATCTAAATTGTTATCAGACCGTAACAATTGTCGTTGTATTTTCAAATTAACGACTGCAATTGTTTGATATATTATACACAATTTAGAAAAGAAGCTCTTAGCCAAAGTATCAGTCTATCGACCTCCGTGATTTCCCACTAAATTATAACGAATACATACTTATATCTAACAGGTTGGGGTGCGCCATGTCCGTGCTGTCCCAAGGAAGAAGCGCGGTCCTCCAGCGTGGCAGAACTAAGGCGTAAGGCACATGAGCACTCTGCGGCGCTCCTACATTCGCTAGCAAGCTTCCAGTCGCGCGCGCTGCTGCCGTTGCCACTGCATCTGCCACCGCTGCCGCTGTCACTTCTACCGCACGACTCCCAACCAGCGCCAGCGCCTCCAGACCCGCCGAAACATCTCGAATAAATGACGTCTCAATAGTTTTTTGTGTAAAATAAACATAACTGTGTGGAAATTCCATCTGGCAACAATGCATACAAAGAGCGGAACTAAGGACATTCCAGTCGGGCGCGTTACTGCCGCCGCCACTTCATCTGCCACCGCTGCCGCTGTCACTTCTACCGCACGACTCCCAACCAGCGCCAGCGCCTCCAGACCCGCCGAAACATCTCGAATAAATGACGTCTCAATAGTTTTTTGTGTAAAATAAACATAACTGTGTGGAAATTCCATCTGGCAACAATGCATACAAAGAGCGGAACTAAGGACATTCCAGTCGGGCGCGTTACTGCCGCCGCCACTTCATCTGCCACTGCTGCCGCTGTCACTTCTACCGCACGACTCCCAACCAGCGTCGGCACTTCAAGACCCGCCGAAATATCTCGAATAAATGACGACTCCATAGTTTTTGTGTAAAATAAACCCAACTGTGTGGAAATTCCATCTGACAACAATGCATACAAAGAGCGGAACTAAGGACATTCCAGTCGGGCGCGTTACTGCCGCCGCCACTTCATCTGCCACTGCTGCCGCTGTCACTTCTACCGCACGACTCCCAACCAGCGCCGGCACCTCCAGACCCGCTGAAACATCTTGAATAAATGACGACTCCATAGTTTTAGTGTAAAATAATCCCAACTGTGTGGAAATTCCATATGGTAACAATGCATACAAAGAGCAGAACTAACGAACTTCCAGTCGCGCGGTTTACTGCCGCCGCCACTACATCTGCCACTGCTGCCGCTGTCAGTTCTACCACACGACTCACAACCAGCGCCGACACCTGCAGACCTGCCGAAAAATCTTGAATAATGACGACTTCCCAGTTTCATATTCTCAACGTTACTATTTGTGTAAAATAAACCCATCTGCATGGCAATGCCATCTTGGTAACAACTCGTACAAAGAGCAGAATTAAGTAGCTTCTAGTCGCGTGTGCTGCTGCCTATGTAATTATTACTGCACGACTCTCAATTAGTCCCACACTCCGAAACACCTGGAATAAATGACAACCTCGTAACTTATTGTTGCATTCTTCAACCAATGAGAAACAAATCTGTGTGGAAATGCTATGGGCTTATTTTGCATTACAAGGAGCAGTACCCTTAGCACGAACCAATATCGAATTCGTAACGTTTGCGAGTTCGAATTGTCATTGTCAAATGTGTACTGATGTTTAGTTCTTGTTACGTACTTTGTGGCGGTGCTGTTCAAGTTTCCATACAAAATTTGACATTGACATTTCGAACTCGCAAACGTTACGAATTCGATAATGGTTCGTGCTAGGGGTACAGTACCGCTATTCTACTATTCGGACAGTTTGCGAGTGCGAAATTTCAATGTGAAATTTTGTATGAAAACTTGAACAGCAGCGCCACAAAGTACGTAACGAGAACATTAAAATTAATACACATTTGACAATGACATTTCGGACTCGCAAACGATACGAATTCGATATTGGTTCGTGCTAGGGGTACTGTACTAAGGCATAAGGCACACGCAACTACCGTATTGGCGCTCAATTTCCATTGTTCATGCGCCGGTAGTCCTACCTTTTCATCTCGATTACATAATGACTTCATAATTTATTGATCTCTAATTTAATACTTTTTTTAGGTAGTATGGTATAAAATACTTCGTTTTGTATTAACTTAAACAACTGCTCCGAAAATGCTTTTTAGGAATGTTGAGTGTGACATGTGACGAAGTAAATTTCAAAATTGAACAATATAATAGCCCTATATGATAAATACAACCAGTTGTTTTAGATTTTAAATAATTTTCAATAACAAATATTTTTATAGATAATTGGTATGAAGTCATATTCCATATTTATTACACAGAATCTCGTTGAAGTCTTTTCTTCAAATATTATACCAGCAGAATACCAGTTCTTAAATATTTTTAACCTAATAAGTGAATTCGTATGTGCCATTAATGATTTGTGCCAATTTATCGTGCCATATTTATTTTTATTAAACCTTAGTCTTAGTTTTATTTGTTTAGAACATAGTTAAGTATTTCCAATCAACCTAGGCATTGATACTTTACTGTGATCTGCAAAATAAAGTTTTAATATTGATGATTTTTACGAAGATGAAAGGCAAAATTTTATGTTGATAAATTTAAAGAATGAGAGGTATTTCAATGTGCAGTTAACTGATGCATTATATTATTAAAAGAGTTATTTGTAAATAGTTAATTTAACCAATGCACTGTTTGACCAAAACTGTTGTGAATATTTCCAATCTAATAAGTGTCATTTAGTTAATAAATAAATAATGTATATACTGAATTGATTGTATGAAAATTCACAGTATTATTCATAGCAAATTGGTGTTCGTAAGATGTCTGTAGTACTATTATAATTATTGTATATAAAACGTGGTTTTTAACATTTAATAAAAAGAGGCATTAATATCGTTGCAAACAACAATTTTAATTTAGTTTTCTACTCGTGTACAGACTATCAAGTATCACAATACTTAGTTACTGCTAAGCAAATCTAAGTTTTTATGTGCTTAAAAAATTAATTGATAATAATTTTATTTAAGTGTTATTTTTTATCTGGTATTCACAGTTGAATTGTCCTCAGACAGAGATGATGACAGGGTGCAATTTTGTCAGTCAGTTAGATTACAACACGTATTTTCACTTTTGTTAGTCAATTCAAAAATTACTAAGATATAGCGCGTCAAATTTTGAGTCGGTGCTCGTGACGTCACTTCTCAGTAAAAATTTTGCCAAGACGTGCCGTCATGTGACATTTTAAATCAATATATGAGGAGCTGGCGAACAAAACGGTATAATTATATAAAAATATATTTTTTACAGGAGCTGTGTAAAACTAAATGACAGGGATGATGACGGGATGCAATTTAGTCCGTCAGTTAGATTACAACACGTATTTTCACTTTTGTCAGTCAACCCAAAATTAGTAAAAAAAAAACAAAAACCAAACCAACTCCAGCGAACTTTTGAGATGGTTTTTAATATATAAATTTAGTAATTTTAACACTGTTTTAGGCGGTTTTCATTGAAAATTAATTGAGATTCAAATTCAACGCGGCCGAATCCTCCAGACTAGATGCATAATTATACCGTTTTCTTCGCCAGTTTCTCATATATCGGCAATGTTTTGCTTTTGTGAAAAAAAATACAGGTGTCCAATACTTTATGATAATCTTTTTGATAGACGAATAAAAAAAAGGTAATCGTCTCTAACCACAATTAATATTTTATCATGGATTAAATGGTGTGTTGTCCTCTTTTGCAATGAAAATTAAAGCATAATCCTAAATCAAACTTAAAAGTTAAATCACATCTCTGAGTCTAAGCATTTTTTTAATTATTTAATTTGTTTTCCCTCATCAACAATCAGGACACCTTCGCACATTTACCCCTCAAATGATTTCAGAAGACTACATCAAATGTATGCTTTGTCAATTTGTAACCCATTTGGAATCATACTTGTGTAAATTATAACGACTTATGTATTTTAATATAAATAAGAATAAATCACTTAAAATGTATTAAGCTATATGATGAAAAAATAAGTATTGTTTTGCAGAGAAAAAGTATATTAGTTGGATATTTAGTCAGAAATTTCAAAATATTTATCTACCTGCATAATGATACCTTTTTGTGTCTGAGAAATGTCCTCTTCATCCAGACGATACCCTTGCACCGGTCACCAGCCAGCCTATTCTCCAACTTTTCTGACATTTACAGTTTGTAACTAAAGAGAAAATTGCATATCCATAGATGCTTTTCAGATCAAGTATCTTAGTGCCGTTATAATAAAGCAGTAGTGGATCACTAAATAGCACGGTGATTATTGCTACCATCTGTCAAAAGCAGTTAGCGAATAGGCCCACTGGTATACACTTCACGGACTAAGGGCCCCAGGTGCGAATGTGATCGTGGGGCACCCAGTTAAGACTGGCAATGCTTGCCCAGTTAAGATTGTCCCACTCCGATGAAGATACCCTGGGGTAAAAGGGGCATCAAGATCCAGATAGCTTGTGCAATGCCAGCGTGCACCCTGTGTGGGGCACCACACCAAGGTAGACTCGCGGTACTCGCGTGAAGTGGGAGGGAGAGCGGTGTTCTCTCCCTTCCACTCCCGCCCCCTAATGATTGCACCACAGAACACAGAAAGAGGTTAGAAGGGTGATCATAAACTGCTTGTATGCGAACCGATGTCGCCGTCTGCCCCCCACTACTTGGTAGACATTTAGTAGACAATAGCCAATCAAACGACGCGACAACAAACAATCGCACCAATCAGCGCTCACACCCGAGAGCAACGGTGCAATCAGAACAAAGTTTTGGTCAATTTAACAGTATTTGCTCACACATTAATGTGGCGCGCCTGCCCCGTCCACAATGCCGTTTTAACTTTTTTCTGTGTTCTGTGAATTGCTCCGAATGAGCCATCTAGCGAAGTTATAGCAAAAATACATTTTATATCCAATTACAGTAAATAATATAAAGAAATATGAACCTGTACAGTTATGTTACTTACACGCCGCGCCTGTATATAAGTGTGACAGATAGAGGTATATAACCACTGCACCATGCACGAAACGTGGAATTGTAGGCGTGGGCGCAATGTAAAGTATTATAAATAAATAGATGTAATGTAACTTAATGCAATACGTACCTTAGTTACACGTGGTTAGTTGTTTTAATTATTATGAAATAAAAACAATATGTATGTAACACTGAGAAAAGTTGTTTTATTATTCACTGATTTTTTTGCCCCTTCATTATCCTGTCATTGCACCATTAACACGCTAATATTTTAAAGGCGAAAGTTTGTGTGTTAGTGTATATGTTTGTTACTCCTTCACTTCTAAACGGTTGGAGCGATTTTAATAAAATTTGGTATTGAGTTAGCTGATACCCTGGATTAACACATAGGCTACGTTATACTGCGGGAAAAAAATCATAATAAGCCGTGGGTAACACGGCGGGGCACAGTTAGGTTCAAATAATAGTGGTAAACGCATGAAGCAAGAAAGACAGACATGACCCAGAAGAATAGCCAAATATAAAGAATAGCCATAGCAATATGTTACCATTAAAATCGTTCTGAAAAATTTTTCGGGGAAAAAGTGCACAAAAGTGTTGTTACACACATAATAAAAGAGATTGTCATTGTATTATTTACATAAAAACTAAAAATACACTACAAAGTCTTGCACACTTCTTTACAACATACATATTAATAGAACATATTTTGACAGAGACGGAAAATGCGTATGGCTACTCCCCTCCTGGCTACCCCATCCGTCTATAAGTAATCATAGTATGCGACCACAGACCAGGAGGCCTACTCTAATTCAACGAAAAATTCTTACTATTTTTCTTATTCGTCTCTAATTATAATAATATTCGTTCTCCCGAAAATACTTTGAGGTTTATATTCTCTAAGCCTACTCAATGAAAAATAGAATTTGATAGTTTATCGTTCAAATGAAGTATAACTTTCGTTGACGAAATTAAATTTCGTTTGAACTTCGTTACCGAAAGTTCGTTTCGGTGAAAGACAGTAGACTCCCTGGGATATGCAAACTACGGTTTGCGTTGTATCTCCGGCTCTGAAACAGTTGATTTCCTTCCCGACCTTCACACTGAAGTCGAAGGCAAATCCTATTCATAACTCCATCGACCAAAAAAGTTGTATATACCATTTTGACACATGTTCTGACTTAGGACCGTCCCGCTGCCAAACCTGTAGAGCGATTCTGAAAAATAAAAACTCACTTCCGATTTCGGTAGCTGCCATTTTAGACATTAGTTTGATATGCATTACGCTATTACGCGGCAAAATGACGCCTGTAGAAGCAGCTAGTATTATATATTTGACATTTGTTAGAAATCTGAAAAAGAATACATCGTAAGTGAGATTGCATCTTACGGAATACCATGGTGGTAATGACTTCGCAGCAAACTTATAATGCTGATTAAAAATAATTTTGAAATGCCCACCAATTACTGTTATTTCAAAGAAAAAAGCAGTCAAAAATGAAAATTACTGACCCGCTATGGATTTTGATAGTATGTAAGTAGTTTGGCCATCATTAATCACTAAGCCTAGATGCTTGTGATACTAGAGTCCCGATTATTATCAGTTTTTTGGGCTATGTAGTCCTTAATGTGGCTATTTATATGGGTTAACCGATTGACTGAGACCTCGCCTGAGGAGTACAGGGTGTGGGGGAGGACGAGAACCGTGAGAAGTGCGGGCAGATATGACTTTTACAGCGTCACCGGGTTTGAAGACGCTGTCCATTGTAGTGTTTGTTTTTAAACAGAGCGTGACACTGACACACGTAGGACAGCTGTTTTGTCTATGATAGCGAACCGCTTACGTCAGCGTAGCTGTCAAACTTCATTGATTGGGTTGGTAGCCTTGAGGGAAGAGTCGATTTTCCTATTCGACTAAAATATTCGCCTTGAGACTTATAAAAAAAAAAAAAAAAAAAAAAAAAAAAAGTAATCAGGCGGGGAATCTCTGTGGGGCGCGTGGATGAATGGATGGAGTTTGACAGTTGTTGAATTTTGAATAGTCTTTCCCAGATCGATTTGAGTCCTCCTTATCGGGTGCTGTTTTTTAATCGATTTTGAATTTTACTCGAAATTGAATTTCCTCGCTGATTTGGGTAGGTATTCCCTTTTCCTCAGCTTACGGCGAGCGTAGGTATATAGTTTTGAGTTTATTCTTCGGTTCGTCTCGAATGCGGCGGCTGTCTGTTTGACTGTGGCCTTTGCCTTCAGTTGAAGTGGGAAACAAATCATCGACACATGTTTGGGAGAGGACGATCCGTCTATCATCTATGAGCAATTGTCAAAACAACTTTTAAAAATTTCACAATCTGTTTGTGGTACAGTTAACTTTTCATCTTTTCTTCTGCCCAAAGTATAATAAACGGCATATTACTGTCGTCGGAGTCGTGAGATAGATCCGAAAAGTTTATATCCCGAAGGATATTGGCGGAAAAAGCGCGGAGTCGCTAACCGAACTGAGTTTCGTAGGTGGACGAACACGAACCTTCGCAAGGCGATTGCAATAATAAGGCGGTAACTTGTGATAGGAAACAAAATACTTACGGATAGTTTCATATTTCGAACGGCTTGTACGTTCCCCTCAAGAAATACTGGAGGACTAACAAGGAGACTTTTGTTCTGTGCACGGACCAGAAGGGGCGCGGGAGTTTATTTGCCAGCCGCTCTCCGGTTTTATGTAACCCGGCCGAACAGCAGACAGATTATACACAGCTTAACCTATCATAATCAAGGTATTTCTCTACTAACCCCGGGTGAACGTGAACAGGAACTGAAAGTGAATTTACATATACCTATATAACTGGTTATCTCACTGAGAACTAGAATTAACTAAGTTTGTCACCAATATCGATCAAACGAGCCGTAGAACCTCTGAAATCCACTCAATAGCTTATTCAGTCTAGTCTATGTGGTATTTGTGGATAAAATATATTAGTAAGGATTATATGGTAAGTACATGGTAAAGTGTTATGAATGTCTGATATTCATATAATTATAACCTTTCATGACAACTTGTTGGTTTATATACACCTTAACTTTGAACTACTGTATTCAGCTTAGATATTTATAATTAGTGAAACATAGTTATTATATAAATAATAAACATAGTTAGACTTGTTGATTTATATAAGCAATAACTTAAAACTACTGAATTCCTATGCTTTGGTATCTAAAGTGGATAAAATATACTTATAACGTTATCTTAATTTTTTTGGTTTTCTTTTATTGTTCCCCCGGTGCTCTGAGTGGGCGAAGAGAGGGCAGTAGAGGGGAATTTAACATCACACCATGAATCGCCGCTGCGAATAAATACGCTAGCCGCACCTGCAGTTAACCGCTGGTGCATAGGAGCGCTCACACAGGCGAGGACTCAATTAAGCGGTCTACTTATAGTCGATTACTGTGATACCAGAGTACTGTAACGTCCGCAGCGTTACAGCCTCTTTGCTTGTCTAGCGCCTACGACTGGCATTCATATTTATACTATAAGATATATTTATAATATATAAATTGGTTGCCTTTTGTCTCGATTCGATGAATGGCAGTATGAAAACGGGCGTAGAAGTAAAATCATACTGATAATAGCGTGTAATTCTTTGAAATACAATATAAAACGTGATACCAATCTTTTATTGCATTAAACGTAGCAAAGTTACGTTGCCCTGGGCTGCCTTTCGGAGCCTTAGATTACCTATCACACACATGTTGTTTACCCTGCCCTTTTTTGCTGCACCGTTGAACTATGTAAGGCGAATCTGTAATATATTCGTGTTTGCTATTTGAAACTTGACATCATCATTATCAGCCTATTAATGTTCCCTCTGCTGGGGCACCCCTATGGATGGAATAGGGAGTTGGGCCATGACCCACCAAGCGGGCCCAGTGCGAATTGGTGGGTGCTAACGATTGCCGATGCAGCCGGGACCAACGGCTTAACGTGTCTTTCAAAGCATAGAGGAGCTCGAGAACGTAAATTTTTGCTCACCCATCCAAATACCGACCACTGCGAAAGTTGCTTAACTTCAACGGTCGCAGTCCTGACCTAACCTAGTATGAACTGAAGAACCCAAAACCTTATTTATAAGAAGCTTACGATTCTTTTCGCAATCTTACCGAGGCGCGTATTCGCAAAAATCCTGTCTTTTCCCAGTAAGATTGAGAAATCTCCATTGTCTAATTATTCGCGTTTTCGTAAAATCCTCAAGTCACCTTACGACACACACATATAATAATTTTGATATTAAATATCTCTTGAAATGCATTTCCGTAAATCTTTTCTCCACATACAAATCAGCAAAGCAATAATGCTAAAACCACTTTGTTAAAACTCGAAATATATTTCTGAGTGCGTCTACTGTGGAACGTCGTCAAATTCCATGATTAACTGTTTAAGTTGAGAATAAAAGGGTGCATGAATCATTCGCAGACGTGAAATATGGCGTAAATACGCAGAAACTTTCAGAAAATACTGCTGATTGTTTTCATAGAACTTTTGTTACAATTGAAAAGCACTTGGATACTTTATTACACAGTCTTAGCGTGATCCAAACTTTGAAAATAAACAATATATTACATACAATACTTTTAAAGAGTTTTTAATGATGTGATTTTGTTTTTTTTTATTAATTTCTTAAGTCCACAAAGCTGGTATGGAAGTGAAATAAAAACATACGCTTACCGCCAATTGCGAATAATTTCTTCCAGTTGCCAAGAGCTCTCCGCATGAAATATTTACTTACATGAAAATTTGCAGTCTATAGTTAGAAACACAAAATCATAAAAGTGAGAAGCTTGCAGTCATTACAAAGAGCTTCACATATCTTCAATAGATGTAGTGACCAGTACCGTATCAACGGCATAGCTCAGCTTAGATTCAATGCGTATATTGCCAATTACGAATCATTTCTTCCAGTTGCCAAGAGTTCTCCGCATGATGTTTTCACTTACGTGATTTTTTAAATTTCCTTCCCTCCTTTACTCGCAACTCCGAAACGTACACAAAAGACACGCGTAGCGCTTCCAGTCTATATGTAGAAACACATAATTATTAAAGTGGGAAGCTTGCAGTCATTACAAGGAGCTTCATATCTTCAATAGATGAGGTGATCAGTACCGTATCAACGGCATAGCTCAGCTTAGATTCAATGCTTATATTGCC